CATCATAACAACTGCATACATGAGTTAAGGACAGTCATTTTAATTAGAAAAATTTTAACACAACTACTTCTGAAGCTCAGCAATGTACTTTTCTCACAGTAAAATCCAATAAGGAAAACATTCAAATAAGAAAATATGTACTAAATCACACAGAGGCCAGGGTAAAGAATGTGGAAAAGAGCATTTACTTGTACTTTGATCTCTCATTTATCCAGTCTTTAGATAAAATACTTGCTCCCTTTTGGACTTGGAAAATGTAAACACGTATCCCATATAAGGAAAAAGTCTCTTGACTGGTGTCACTAAAGGTCACCACTTCAGACTTGTTTGTGAAAAATGTGTATGTTGTTACAAGGTTCTTCTAACTTCAACTTGAATTGTTATCTTGTAAAGCAAAAATGTTCTGATAGCAAAGAAAGGTGGTTCATGAGGGGAAATGGAGACATGATTTAAAAAGCAATGTTTAACTAAAGTAATATAGAGTAAGTGTCATTCCAGAGGGAAGGTAAAACTCTGGTCTTGACTGAAAGGAATTTCAGGGAAAGGGCTGGGGGGAGAGGGCTCAAAACAGGGGAGGGAACATGTTCTAACAAAAGGGATTATCGTGATGATGCACCAGTGAAGTGGTGGTGGTAATTTTGTGGGGACTACACCCGAGAGGAGAAAGCATGCATTGTACAAAAAGGAAGGATGATGTAAAATATGCATAAAAATAATAATAAAATTAAAAAATAATTGGTAAAAAAAAAGAAATTTCAGACTGAATTTATTTCTCCATCACTACATGTACATTAAACTAGGTAATTTGTAAACTTGCTTCTATGTTTTCAATACTATGTCAATAACCAATGCAAACATGACTTTAACTATCAATTTTTCACAAATTGTATATTTGGGGGGAAATATAAAATTCTAGAATACATATACAATGAGCTCAGGTATAATTTACTATGTGACTATGTCCTATTCACTAAGGATCATTTATGACTGATCTATATTTGGTGAACAAACTAAGTGAAGCTATAAAGTTACTTTGTTAAAAAGAAATGATCTATAAGGATATACCCTAAACTATTCACAGGATATGCTCTGAGGATTCAGGAAGTAGGATAGTATGAATGGAAGGACTTGGTCAATTAAAAATTCTTTCCTTTTCTATTTTATTTTATTTTGTAGATTTATTTATTTACGCATACAAAAACTGGAGGGTACAGGCCAGAGGTGCGGGGTGGGGGTAGGGGTGTTAAGAGGATTTACCAGAGTGGGGAACAGAACAGGCAGACTGACTGAAATACACTGCTGAGGGGAGCAGCAGGCAAGACAGGAAAGGTCTGCTGCGCCATGTGGGTAGCTCCCTGGCTGGCCAGGGATTGAACAAGTGCTGCAGGGGCTGCAGATAGCTTCATAGTGCTGTGCTTAACCCATTGTGCTACCAGGGAGGCCCCTCATTTTCTATTTTAAAATCAGGACACACTGTGTTTATAATTCTGACAAATTTTAAAAGTTGCTTTTTTAAAAGTCATCATTATCCTTTAATTCAACAGTGCAAACAAGACATGGACTATGTAACTTCTCATCGACATCAATATGGCCGGTAATAAATGGATAGGTTATTTGACTTTAAATTATCTCCAGTAAAGGATCCCTAATATCTTAACATTTTCCCCCACAGATGTTTGTGTAGTTCTTATTTTCTGTACTCCACGATTTTTGCATAAATAATTCTTCTTACACTTTATTCAAATTATCATTGTCTTGTTCAGAAATGATCCTCTCTGGGCCTCCCCGGTGGCGCAGCGGTTGAGCGCTGGGTTGCGAACCTGCCCGCGGCCTCTGCGGCGCCGGTTCGATCCCCGGCTGCTCCCCGGCCACCGGAGGAGGGTCCCGCATGGCGCGCAGACCTCTCCTGCCGCCCGCTGCTCCCCTCAGCAGTGTACTTCGGTCCTTCTGCCTGCTCTGCTCCCCGCTCTGGCTCTGGTGAATTCTCTCACCCTCCCGCGCTTCTGACTGTACCCAGTGCATGTATAAACAAAAACAAACAAACAAACAGATAAATAAATAAATAAACATGCCTCTATAAAAAAAAAAAAAAAAAAAAAAAAAAAATGATCCTCTCTAAGAAACACTTGATAAATGAGAGTCCATGGGTGGCTCATAACTAGCCCAAAGATGTACTTTGTTTGGCTAGAAAAACTTTTTAGCAAATTAACTGCCAGCATTAAATAATTGAGATTAATGCAAAATGCAGGATTCCTAGCCTCTCTTAAGAGAACAAAGATCTGACAACACAGGGCCCACATTCCCATATGGCAAATGGGATTGCTTCCAGCTGTCTCCTGGGTGCACATGCTCTGGCTCACCATGGCCTGCCCACAGTCACCTCCACAGCAGCACTTCAGAGCCATGCTCCCTTAGTGTGCTTCTCTCATGTTGTTTGTCGTATGGTAAACAGGAAAGTAATTTCTTATACCCTTATTTTTTTTAATGAGGTAATGAAAGTAATATCAAACAAATAAGACGTTTCAAGAAAAAATTGGGATTAAGAATATTTCTTTATAGAAATGAAGATAGTTTTTCTTTGTTTAATATGCAAATAATATTTACATTAAAAAACCAACTGAATAGCCATAAGAAGCCTGCATGAAATAAAGTATGAAAAAAATGTAATAATCTTTAAGTAGGAACAAAATATAAGTGAACCCTTTGTGAAACACAATTACAGGTTAAATAAAAGACTTTTTTATATCTAATCCATTTCACTCCTTTCTGTGACCTAATGACCATGTAGGTATTTGAGTTTCTCCCTCTATTTAGGAACATCCAGATACAGACACACATGCCATCTACCTCTGAACTACTTCTGTGCCCTTGTGCAGTAAACAGCAATGGCTTCAGCCCAGCAGTGACTTACTTCCCTCCTTTTCCAGTTCTTAACAGCACTCTGCAAACATAAGGGAAGCAGCTGTAAATATTCCTAGTAACTCCTCAATTCCATGTTCCTTCCTCCTACACAGGCTTTTTCTCTAAACCCAGTCTGGCCACATGCCACCTAAGAACTAAGACTTTCCTTTGTTAATATGGTCCTGATTCATTGTACAAGGTCATAGGCTATCAATTGCAGCTGCAAATACTCAGGGCAGATTTTCAACCACAGTTTGAGCCCCGCCCCCCAAAGGAATAGATGACCTGTTCAAGACAGCAGCTAAAGCTAGCAGAGGTATCTATGTGCTCAAAAGTCATTTGCAAATCAGTAGCTGCAGTGTAATGCCAAAAGTTCTCAAGCTCTCAACTTAAGGATAAAGAAATGGAACCACTGATCAACCCTGTCAGCCAACTCTGCATCCCAGAACCAATGAGTTTGAGGTATAGATTACGTTTTCAGTAAATGTTTACTGACTATAGAATGTGACTCTACTCTCTCTGGACTATCAGCTGCAATCTACCTTTAATGTTCTGTCATTAGGTCCAACTTCTAGTAATACTTTTATACTCTGCAACGTGCTTCAACATGACCTATCTTATTTGACTCAATAGGAAAGTTGTGAGGTAGGTGGAACTGGATTTATAGTATCATCTCCAATTTACGGAAAAAGAAATAGAACTCAGAGAGCTGAATGTGACTTCTTCAAGATCAAAGAATGAATACTGGGCCTCCTGTTGACTACATGTTTATCTAAGCCACCATGAACTACACATATGAACAAGGAGATAACACTAAAAATATAAATTATGATCAAACAGCAGTCCTTTAAGAGGGAAAACATTATATTTTTGAAAGAAATACTCTAACAAAAGCAATATTTAAATAATTAGGGAATAAAATTCAAGAAATCAAGCTTTTGAAAATGTTTTTATATAGAAATATTTTTACAAAGATTTTACAACATAGCAAATCATTATGTCATACTATAGAAAGAAGAAAAAGATTAAACATCAAGAATAAAGAAAGTGCTCATAGCATCATATTGCAGTCTCCATGAAAGTGCATAAACAGTTAAGGCAAAGTACCATGTCGGTACTGGCATGCGGCAAAATGACTTGTAAAACAGTTCTTAAAAATATTTACAAAAGTTTTTTTTAAAAAAAAAACTCCATTTTTCTCAGACATTTGAAAGCGATACATTTATGAATAGACTTGCTCTACAACTGTGTAAAAATAACCCCTGGATACAAAATAGTAAAAGTAAAAATGCTCTACCTGAGCGAGCGTGTTAAAAGTAAATCAAATGATTTATAAAACAAAACCTTCCCAAGTGCAGGCTTGCTTCCTACATTTAACATGCCAGACTGAAAGCTCACCCTCTCATATTCCAAGATAGAGATCATTAACAACAGTGGTGTGTGAGTAGGATTCAGATTTTGCCCATCTATTGGCATACTTGAAGTCCTTATGTATTCACTGTTATAAATCTACTTTACAGCTTTGCTTCTACCTGAGGCTCACATAAGCCATTTTATGAAGTACTACATAGGCTTAATACAATATTTTGCCCTGTCTGATAATAAAAATATGAAGGCACTCTCTAAGGTTAACTCATAACTAGTTGACTAGTTATTCTAGTTAAGTACTTTGTTTTTCCACATACATGTAAATTCCTTAAAAGATCAATAGGATCAATAAGGGCAATACTAGTTATCAAAGTTTAATCTTCACACTTGGAGCAGAATTAGTTTTTATAATGTAACTGAGAATAAGACACCAAAAAAAAAAAAAAAGGTAAATTAGTTAAAACTGAGTAAGAATGAGTTTCAGGGAAAACTGACATCTGAACTCCAGTACAGATAATAATTATCTGCCAAAGAATAACTTAATTTCCATGACTAACCACTCTTTCGTGTAAAATATTATCTACTCAGGAAAAATTAGTATGACCATTTTAGTCTCCATATTGAAACTGAGTTCTTCTTTCCCTATTTTTTTTCTATAAATGTAGAACTAAACCAGCCCATTTCTACTGACTTTGTTTCCTAAATAGCTTTAGTCCTCAAGGTATAGCTATGGTAAAACCAGAGAGAAACACCCAGACTTTTATTGGAAATCTAAGTACAAAATAAGCACATGTACTCTATACAATCTTGTAACAGGGACAGCAACAGCGAAAACTGTCTTACACAGCTGATGTATTAATTTGATTTTCACTCATAACTTCTTTTTCATCAGAACCACAGACAAACAGCCGGTTGCCCAGCATTTTTTGGGAAAAGCGGAAATACATGATGTGGCCCATTGCCACAAAGGAGACCGAAATCAATACAAGCAAGCCAAAAGCTTCAGGATTGGGGGCCAAGATGACCATGATGAAATGCAGAAGATCAAGAAGGTAGTTCATGGAGTTCTGTACACCATTTATAATGCCTCTTTCAGATTCGACTACATTTTCTTGAAGCAATTGTGTCACAGTTAAATCAAAGGACCAAAGACCTACAATGAAAAATAGTTTTTAAAGATTGAATTTTAACATGTAACTTTAGATTAAAGCTCTATTAAGTAAAATACATACTTGAGCCCTACCGCCTTAAGGTCACCATACATATATATTTATCACAGTTTGTCTTAGAATATTATTTTCATTAATAAATACTAGGTTGTGAGTGGCTTCAAGAAATGACTTTTACAGCCACCAGACAAAAATAGGTCTAAATATATAAACTTCTTATTTCTGTTTTTCTGTTTATTCATACTATGAAAGCATAACTAAAATGAGAGACATAATAAATTCGATGATAATAATTGCTTGTGTCTTTAAAGTTTAAAATGAATGGACCTAATATATTGTTATGGTCAAAGTGTAAGGAAACTTTAAAACCATTATTACATTTATTGCTTCGGTTCTAAAACCCCTACTATAAAGCTGTCTTGCTTGAATATTAATTTCTTAGATAAATTAATGTGCTGCTTTGTATCTCAAGATAAATATGGTTTCATTTCAAGAACGAGTTCAGGAAAAGATAATTCATCAGTACTCTATTAATGATTACTTAAACACTGCTTTGTTAGACGTCTTTACAGTACGTATCCTTTCAGAGCTATAAAATCCATTTGTTTGGCAAAGTATACAATAAATACATATTAGAGATGCCCTTTAAAGGACTTTTATTCTAACTACCAATTTTTTTTTTGGTTTTCACTAAAAACACCACTTTCTCCTCCTTGTCCCAGGAATTTTCTCTAAATTATAGTCCCACAGACTATTTGGTAGAGTGAAAACAACACAAAGATTCTAAATTACTAAATAAAAGCATAATTATTATAGCTAATATATTTTTAATTAAAGTACATTAAAAGAGTAATACCTTAGATATTCATTTAGAAACAATTTTCAAGCTGGAAGCAGGTTTTAAGAAAGTATATGTACATACATACAAACAAAACTCCATTGTTAACATTTCTAACTAAAAACAGGATTAACATAAGGATAAATAGTGGATTGTGCTTAAAATAACCCTCAGGGAATATTTTAGATCACTTATTATTGAATTCCGTGAATACACAGAAAGACATTGTTCATTAAATATACAAAACAAGACATCTTACCGATTCTAGCAGCAATGACGCCTGCGAACAACAGACTGACGGAGATCATGGACTCAGAGTTAGCAGTCATTGCTGAGAAAGTATTAGCTGGGTTAGACCCATTTGACATGTGCACTTCAGTTGTGAGGGTGATTTCAGGTGTTTCTGTGGGTGTAAGTTCAGGCATGGACTCGGTTTGAATGAACCTAGATCGGATATCTTCAAAGGGAGATACAGTCAAGTCCAAGGGGCTTCCAGGCATGAACACGGAGATCACACACAAGATCAAGCAGGAAAGCTGTGCGAATCCTGAGATCAGACCAGTCCGAATCAAGCCACATTTTCGACGAAGCCAAGTAAAAGCCACTGTTCCCATTATTCCAGTTATGGCTGAGGCACCCATCAAAATACTGAGGATGGACCCACTCAGCCCCTGAGTGTAGGCGTACCCTGTGGTGATGCAGTCAAAGCCCAGGACAGTCATATAGAGGAAAGCGAGACCCATGCCTGCCAGAAACACTGGCTGGTTGTAATAGGAGACCCAGCCATCTCGGAAGGTGCGGAAGGGCTCAGCCATCTGGGAGCCACAGCTCGGCTCTTGTTCAGGTTCAAGCTCACGGATGTTAGGGTCTTTCTCACCTAGTAGATGAGTTCCCTCCAGGGGTTTTGGCTCAGTTTCTGTTAATAAAAGACATCATTATTTGGGGAAAGGGAATGCCAATTATCAGTATTTTTTATTCTCATTTCCCTCTCTCATGGGTACCTTGACTCTACAATATAGTATGTATTTTCTTGTACTAATCTAAGAATTCCAGCCAAAAACAATCTCCAAAGTAGCACTTATGTTAAAATATTACGGATACCCTTCTCTCCTTCTCTTATAAATTATACTAAGTATAAGTAAATAATAGGAAAACTCATTAGATATAACTACTGTCCAAGAAAACACAGTATCTTATTTTGGGGGCCCTGTTATGATTTTATTAGGCCAGAAATACAACTGCCTCTCCTCTTCTAGGGAAATGCCCTCCTACCTTCATATTCTCACACCCCTCTGCTGTCCCACAAATGTCCTATAAAACTCCCCACAATACAAACTTACAGAGATTCTCTTGTTCTCTTTTCCCCCCACTGTTTTTCTCATTACTACAGCTCAAACTTGCTCAGTAATCTCCCAATTACCTCTCTGTAAAGGCCAAGGGTCCCATTTCAATTCCTGGAGGTTCACCCCAGAGTTATTCCTGAGACCCTCAAATATTTGGGTTTTGACTCTCCTGACAAGGTGACATATTTAAGCTCATGAAGGCCTTCAGTGGTAATAAAACCTGATATAAATTCAAAATAGTTTTGGTCTTCACCAACATTTAAGGTCTGAACATCAGAATAAAAGGACTGATTGTTGTATTGAGTTTACCTTTGTGTAAATTCAGCTGCTTCAACTCAGCTTCCTCTACTTTAGGAAGAGCTTTCACAGCTAGAGCAGGGGTTTTCTGGTAAACCTTCCAGAGCAGAAAGTACTCCACACACATGGATACCAAATTCCATCCCGAAATGAAACCACAGCCAATGACTGGGGAGCCAAAGGTCATAATCTGGCCGACAGCCATGGGGGCCAAAATATTGGTTAACTGGTCAATCCTTCGTATGGTGGCATTCATATCTACAGAGGGAGGTGAGAGGGAAGATAAGTGTGCAAACCTATCAAAGAGAGATAGTTCACTTACATAATAAACATGCATAATGTAGAGTTCTAAAATGTAAATTTTAGAAAAGAACTCAGTAAGCAAACCATCTTGTTAGAAAGTCATTAGTTGTTTAAAGCAAGTCACATTAAATGTGCCTCAGTCACTAGTCCCTTGGTATTGTACAAATTATTCTCACATCAGCTTTTAAAATAAATACAATAGGGGCCTCCCTGGTGGTGCAAGGAGTTAAGCACCGCACTATGAAGCAATCCCTAGCCTCTGCAGCACTAGTTTGATCCCCAGCTGGCCAGGGAGCAACCCACATGGCGCAGTAGACCTCTACTGTCTCGCCTGCTGCTCCCCTCAGCAGTGTTATTTCAGTCAGTCTGCCTGTTCTGCTCCCTGCTCTGTCTCTGGTGAATCCTCTCACCACCCCCTGCATCTCTGGCCTGTACCCCAGCTCTTGTATGCATGAAAAAATAAATCTTTAAAAAAATAAAAATAAAATAAAGTAAATACAATAGTGATTCTGGCTTTATTTTTTCCAACACTGATTAAATGTCTATTATGAGGTTGGCACTATTTTTGAAAAAAAAATGAAGACTATGCTTCCCTGTCTTCATCAAATTTATAATACCCATTAGAAAAGACAATTAACTAATAAGCACATAAATATAAATTCAGATGTTCATAAAATATTATGGTGAAAAATAAAGCAGAGTACTGAGCATAGAGAATTTTCAGTGTAAAGGAGAACTTGTTTTAAATATGGCAAGGGAAGGACACACATAGTAAAGAGAGCATCACAGCAAAGACATGAAGTGGTAGAAAGCCTGGGAAGATTATATGGCCTTTTGACTTTTACAATGAATGAGTCAGGAAGCCTTTGAAAGCTTATGAAAAGAGAGGTGGCACAGTCTAACATGGTTTTAAAGGTTCATTTTGGCTGCTGAGTTGAGAAAAAAACTGTATAGTGGCGGGGTGGGGGCAGTAACACAAGCAGGAGTTGATGATGGTATGGACCAGGACAGTAACAATATCAATAGAGAAAGATAATGAATATAGTTTAAAAGCAGTCAGGAACACTTGCAAACAATTCAATATGGAGTATGATAGAAAGTGAGGAATTGGGTTGATTCTAAAGCTCTTTTCCTGAGTAATTATTGAAGGGACAGCATTGCTACTGACTGGGAAATGGAAGACTTTGAAGGACTCAGAGATTCTTAAGGAAATTATTCAGAAGAATTAGGTTTGGTGCAAAAGAACAAGTGTTTGGGCTTAGAGATGTTGATTTTGATAGGCTTAATGATGTTCAAAAGGTCACATAACCCAAGCAGTCAAATGTATAATTATGACGTGTAGGGAAGAAGAATAAGCCAGATTTGGGAGTCATCAGATGGTAGATTTTCAAAGGAATGGCACTGGATGAGAACATCAAGAGAATGAGTGCAGACTGAGAAGAGATACAGTGTGAGCTCTGAGTCCTGTTCATGACAATATTTAGAGATTATGAAGGTAAGGAGGAATTAGCAAAAAAAAAAAAAAAAAAAAAAAAAGCCAGAATATAATGTTCTAGGAGAGAGAAGTGTTTCAAAGAGGAGGGATTAATCATCTGGCACATGCTACTGATGTCAACAAAGATATGCACTGAGAAACACTAGACTGGTCATGTAGAAGGTACTAGCACATCAGAAAGAGGAGTTCTGGTAGCGCATGGGGGCAAATGTCTGGCTAAAGTTGGTTAAAGGGTCAGGCCAGCTCCAGGGAAAATCATTTATAATAGAAGTGAATGGTGCCCACTGGATTCACGATGTGAATGTCACCTCCTGGCATTGTGAAAGCAAAGCAAGGAAGATAAGAGGGGAAAGTGAGCACAGACAACTCAGCAATATACATAGCTTCAAGTACAAGTAGGAAGTGCCATAGGAAGGTCATAACACATGGAAGCACTCCTCGTTCTTTCCATTTTCTCAGTAAAACACAGAGCTAGGTCATCAGTGAAAATGAGGCTGGGAGAGGAGGAAGTCAGAAATAGTCCTCTAGGAGGGCGGCAGAAGGAAGAGACCAAAGAAAATAACATAACCATCAAGCAGCATGAGTGGGCCAACTTGAACCTGATCATCAACTTCACATGAGAACAGTGAACCAAGTTGTGTGTTTCTCTCCAGCCATGTTCTACTGTGGAGAGTTGGATTTAAACAGAATATCTTAGGAGAGCCAAAAGGCATTCAAGTCAGAATTGCTGACCTTTGAATTTATTTTTTTTAAAGATTTATTTATTTATGCATGCAAGAACTGGGGCACAGGCCAGAGGAGAGGTGTGGAGGTGAAAGAATTCACCAGAGAGAGAGTGGGGAACAGAACAGGCGGATTGATGGAAATACACTGGTGAGAGGAGCAGCAGGAGAGGCAGGAGAGGTCTGCTGCACCATGTGGGTAGCTCCCTGACCGGGGATTGAACTCGTGCTGCAGTGGCTGCGGATAGCTTCATAGGTTGCATCTCAACCCCTTGCACCACCAGGGAGGCCCGAGCTTTGAATTTAAACTGGGTAAGAAAGAGAAGTCATGAGCAGTGAAAAGGTAGCACAATTCATGACTTGTAGGTACCAACCAGATAGGAGAATTGTTGGGGCTGGGGCAACAGAAGAAGTGAGTTAGAAAGAAGTGAGTTAGACAAGGATGCTAAGATTAAGATTACATAAGGGGAGGATTATAGAAGAGGAAGATTTAGGCCTTCATGACAAGGTGTAGGTATAGATATGTATCCATGGGGACATACAGCTGAGTCAGAGTGGAGGGCAAGATGAAGAAAGGAGAGGAAGTCAAGAAAATGACCTCCTTTCTCATTCTCTATCTTAGAGAGTAGAGTAAAAATTAATGAGATAAATCTGTATGAATCATTTGAGGCACCTTAAGGAGTAAGCCATTTATGACTAATAAGTACATTAAGAGAAAATAAAATTGCCTTCATTCCTTCTTTAGTTCTTCCTGGTCCTCGATTACCTTCCAATTAGCCTTACAAGAGTATAAAGCTTCTATGATAAGAGGAGAACTTTGATATACTTCACCTTTCACTTGAGAGGCAAAGGCAGTTTTCATTGCTCTTACCTGTGGCCATTTTTGCACAGGCTTCACTAACGTCCATCTGCCCCTCACAAATAAATTTCCAACTCATATGCTATAGAGGTGTAGAAGTAATCATTTAATAATGTGAATCCAAAAATGAAGTACTAATGAAAACATACACTTGGATCTGAAGCCCAGCACAATAACGGCAAAAGTATTTTAGTTAAAATGATTGGTTACTCTTTTATAGCTCAGTTGTCCAGTACTTTAGAAAGCTTCTCAATGCCACCAATTTCTACTTCTATATTTCATAAGTTTATGAAGTTTAGGCATTAGTACAAGTGTAGTATCAACAAGCAGCATTTATTTCTCAGAAGCAAGATGAATCAAAAAATAATTTTTGAAAAAGACCTACTCATTTTATTTGTAATAGGCTAGAGCAGGCTCAGTACTCTGAATGTGTAAACATATCCTTTTTACAAATTACATTTATTCTTATGTAAACACATATATGTGTGCTCATTTAATTCTAGTTTAACTATTTTCAGCTACAGCTGTGACACAGACCATGGCATTAAATAACGACTTGCTTTTATAAAGGGCATATTACGTCTCAGAGAACAACAACAAACATATTTACTGAGCAAACAGCAGCTAGCAGATTTGTCTCCCTATTTCGATGTTTAGTCAATATAGTTCAAACAAGAAATTTTTCTGTCATACTTGATCAAGTTAATCAGGAGATGCTTCTTGAGAATGGTGAACAAAAAAACCCTGAAGAATGATTAACAAAGGAAGTAGAGAAGAAAACAAAACAACAGAGTAAAAAGTCTGGAAAAAGGAAGTGAGTTCAGACAGATTTGACATGCTAAGGATTATGGTACTAGAGAATGTTGCAATAAAACTTTGGTACCTAGACAAATTAGCTAACATGTTAATTAACTTATTATTTGTGAAAAACAGTACCTTTCTAGGGGTTGCCTAAGCTAGAAGGTTAACAGCTACATTTTGACCTGATGCACTGAAATTTCACAACGTTGTAACCTTCCAGGGATGATTTCCTCCTGCTCTTTACCCTCAGCAATACAACTTCCAATTTTAAACCCAACTCGGAAATTAAGAAATGCTGGCATAAAGGAATGGGGGTAATTAGTATTCAGCTCACCACTTTTCCTCTTCATGTGCACAGCCCTTCCCCGTGAGCCCTCGCCCCCACCCCCACCCCGGCACACACACAGGCACACATAATACACATAGCTCAGCCTTCCTTTCCAGTCCGCTTCTTGGGTTTCTGACACCAGGTGTTGACAGCAACCTCAGAAAACCACCTGCATAAACTTCTATCATTCCTGACTGGAATAGGTACATCTGTGTACAAACACACAACTTCAGATGCACCCAAGGCAGCAGCTGAAATCTCCACTAGTTCTGCTTTTTCCTTCTCTCTTCATTTTTTCCTTTATCTGCCTCCATTTTCTCCACTCTTTCTAATGTTAGATCTAATCTGCCTTGTATTAGAAATGGCACTAAATATCCATGGTTAGAGTTTGCGGACTCACAATATGACAGAAGTTTAGTATCCTGTTTGGAAGGATAATTTTTAGGGAACACAAATGCGGAGTTCATGAAACTTGAGGAGAGACATTATGGAGTTTGTTTTTTTTTTTCACTAGGATAGTAACCACTGCTGGCTAGATGCTACAGAGTACCATTTATTAAAAGCTAACTCACAGGGTACAAGAGTTCAACAGGCAGTTTACTCCCTTTCTGAAACTTGAGCAACTCCAGAGGGTTAGAAAATAGACTGGTTGGCCTAGATTCTTCCACTCTGCAGTAATTCCCAATATAAAGTAGGACAGTTATGAAATGGCCAGTCATATTTTTTGTTGTTGTTCAGGGATAATCACTTCATGGCCAGAAAGATCCCACAGTTATATTCTTTTGTTGTTCAGTTATTTATTTATATATTTAGAACAAGTTAAATATTCCGAGAAACTTGGTCTTTTTTTTTTTTTTCAAGATGAGTTAAGAAATTCAGATAAGGGAAAGGAAATTATTTCAAAAGTCAACTTCTTCCCCAAATTCTTTTGTGGGCTGTATGTGTGCTCTATTTCCAAAATATGTCCTTTTAGACCCTTTGAAATTTAAGAAAGAGACATGTGTTACTTAAAATAACACATTAAAAAGAGAAAGTAAACAACAAGAAAAACACAAAAATGACAGTCTTATATAATAATTCAATGTGATAAGAGACATGGAATTATATCCAATTAGTAAATGAAAACAGGAAGAAAAACCAGGGAGTTTCACTACTTAAGCTTCAGAGAGAATTTCTGAGAGTAGCATCACCTGAGCAAAATTCATCCCCCAACCCCCCACACACCCTATCCTGTAAAATCACAGTGAAGGATTTCTATCTTGGTTGTAATACTGACACCACAAAGTGATGACTTTTCACAGATTTTGCTCTCCCTCTCTCACCACCTCCTTTATATATATATATATATATATATATATATATATATATATATATGTATGTATGTATGTATGTATGTATGTACTTTATAATTCCCATTGTTCAGTCAAACAAAATTGCTTGTGGGCCTCCCTGATTGTGCAAGGGGTTAAGTTGCAGCACTATGAAGCTATCCACAGACACTATAGCATGAGTTTAATCCCCAGCCAGGGAGCTAACCCACATGGTGCAGCAGACCTCACCCACTGCTCCCCTCAGCAGTGTATTTCAGTGGATCCACTTGTTCTGCTCCCTACTCTGTCTCTGGTGAGTCCTCTCACCACCCCATACCTCTGGCCTACACCCCAGCTCTTGTATGCATAAATAAATAAAAAATAACCAAAGTTGCTTGCTAACCCTAATGCCTAATCTTGACTCCTATGTCCTGAGACAAGCCATTTAAGTCACCAGGAATGACATTCTTGTCTATCAGGATGGTTAGGCAATGTGTTTGTGATACCCATTATCTCAGTGACTAACCGAGTTGTTGATTCAACTGTTGTGATGTGGAGATAGGTGTACCCATCCTCCTTCACCCTATGTAATTACCCATCCAATTCAGGTCTGTGTTTTGTAGGGGGGTAGGTAGGGGATGTCAAGTGAGGTAGGTTATTCTGAGCACAAGTGATATTGATATAACAGCACACATCGCTTTTCAAATGTCCTTCAGTCTTTCTTTGGCCTTTTATATATGTTTCCAATGGACAACTAAGATTGTAAACTATAGATCATAACTTAAAAGTTAAAGTAATTAACTTTTATAGTCTCTCAGAACTAAGTTGATTCCATTTTATTTGGAGAAAAATAATATCATAGTGTGACCAGTAGATAGTATTTACAATATTATCTATAGTATTACAATAGCCATAGCAGGACATGATAAAATTCCAAGTCAGATTTTTACTGCTCTAAAGGATTAAGTCAACCATTTAGAAACTGTTAACAGAGAACTCACAAGAAATGTTCTTCATTTGCTAGGTTTGCATCCGATAAAAAAGAAATTCACCATCGTATAAATTAAATTCAAGGCAGAGAGATAAATTTTTGCATGATACTGACAGTGTGGCAAGAAAAAGATTATAATGTCAACGTACTATTCTTTAAAGAACCCAGAGAAAAAAAGCTTAGTCTCATTTGTTATCACTGATTTAAAGTGAATCCTGGGCCTCCCCGGTGGCGCAGCAGTTGAGCGCTGGGTTGCGAAGCTGCCCGCAGCCTCTGCAGCACCGGTTCGATCCCCAGCTTCTCCCCGGGCCAATGGAGAAGGGTCCCACATGGCGCGCAGACCTCTCCTGCCGCCCGCTGCTCCCCTCAGCAGTGTACTTCAGTCCTTCTGCCTGCTCTGCTCCCTGCTCTGGCTCTGGTGAATTCTCTCACCCTCCCGCGCTTCTGACTGTACCCAGTGCTTGTATAAATAAATAAATAAATAAATATTTAAAAAAAAAAAATAAAGTGAATCCTAATATGACCCATTTAGTTGAAAGAGAAAATCAAATTACCTGCTAATTTGCTTCTGTCTTCTCCTGCAACAACAACAATCCAATCCCTCTGGATTGTGATTGCAGTTGCTGTACTGGCCAGATTTGCAATATTTGCAATAGTGATGATCATGACATAGCAGGAAGTCTAAGGAATTATAATGAAAAGTTGAGTTAAAATGTCAGTTTCCCACACTGTGCCTACCTCACTGTACAATTACAGTTTAAAAATGGATTTGGCATAATAAAATTTGATTTTAATTTCATTTATAAGCAATCCTTTTATTGTGTACATACAAAATAACAAATATAGGTGGTAAAATAATGGGCATAGTGTCTTCCAAATCCACACCATCTGTAGTGCACATTATACAAAAATTCTAATAGTCATATGCACATTTATGTCACAGTTGTCATAAGTGTTAACATAGTGGTAGTTTTTAATATTTCCCAGAAAAAGATCTCTTGAAAAAACAATGATGGGGAACTAAGCCAAAACAAATCCTAGAAATGTAATTGCAAAACTGAGGCTACTAGAAGGGTAGGGAGGGCCGGGGTAGGGGTAGAGGTGGGAAGGGGCCCAATGGCCTATGGGTGTTTTGGTGGTGAGCTTGGTGTAGTGACAGTATCTGAGGAGGTGGGAACCTGTTCCCCTAAATTATATACAGTGTTGTAAACCAATGTTACCTCAATAATTTTTTTTTTAAAGATTACAGAAACAGTAGTAAGATAAAATAAAATGCTGCAGGGGAAGGAAGACCTGTATTTAAGTGAGAGTTCTGACAACCTTTACCTGCATGACTACGGGCAATCAGCTAGTGTTACTTTGTCTTAGTTTTTTCATCAACAAAATGAAGGGAATATTAACAATAATGTAAGAAAACAAATTCTTTTAAAAAATGAAGGGAACAGACTAGACGATTTTGAGTATCCTACCTAGCTTTGAAATTCTATAATGTCAATCCAAATATGCACAACAATATTCAATAGTGACATCAGACCCACTGTTTTCCACTACACCCCATGTTTTATCTTCTTTTCCATCAAGCCATTATGAAATCATAGTGGGAGACGCTATCTAGTCCATGTCCCCGAACAAAAACACCTTCAGTTATTACTGAAGGAACACACGACTGATTAATATACAAGAATAATAATTTTATATAGTACAAACAAATTACAGGCTAATATTAATGAACTGAAAATTAACTAACAAGTAAATTATATAATAAAATCTTAGAAATGCCATTAAAAACAAATTGGAAAAATACCTAGTAGGACAAAAGTTAAATTCAAACAACAATTAATGAATGCCTATTGTGGGCAAAAAAATAAAAACATAAGGGAATATTAAAGTAGACACAGAAGTCAATATTTAAAGATCCCATTTGCAAAATGACACTCCCTAGCCTCTAAGGGTTTTCCTCTTTTACCATCACCAGATGTTCACTTTTCTGCCATGAAGAATCTCAATGAGAACTTACAAGAACCCATCCATGGTACATGGTCAGAAGTTCATTTTTATGTAAGAAAACCATCATCAGGATAATTCCACACAGGATGACCGAAACATTCTGCACCACCAGGGAAGTCTGTGCCACTGTATAGAAGGAGAAACAAAGTACTGAGTATACCAAAATGTCTCAGGGCAGCTGCATTTTATTCACATTAACACAGTATTTATCCACACATAAATGCACATTATACTTTTATACTACATTAATGCATGTTCAAATTATAAGAAAAAAAAAATGCCTACACTAAATCTTGCCTCAACTGCTTTCAGTGTGACCCAGAAGATCACATCAGACCAGTAAAGTCAGCACACAAAATGCCTAAATACCCACCTTCTTCCTGTTAGTTGAAGCCATTCAAGATGACCACATTTTTTTTCATTTAGATTATTCTCCTAAAAATTTACTATCATAAATGGAACTAAATTACATCTCTCTGCTTTTTATTACTCAGAACAAGTAATAAGAACAAGTAGGAGATGGCAGAGGAAGTTGAGGAAGAGATTACCAAATCTATTACCCCCTATACAGCCAGCCTAATCTGCAAAGATGGTATAAGTAGAAAAGACATGTAAAAATTGGCCAATAATAGAGTAGAAGTACATTTTTTGGGGGGAAAACTAATGCTATTTACCTTTACTACGAAATTCTAAGCTACATATTCCCTCAAAGAAAACACCAACTTTTTCAGAGTGAGGCACTGATATAGAAAAAGCAGTGGAATGAGAACAGGCATGTATACCAGGTGGGGATAACTTGCAGTCTTTTACCATTTACTAGGGTAGATGATCTAGGACAGGATACCTAATGTCTCTTATGCTTGTATCTATAAGATGAGGATAATAACATATACCTGCTTCCTCACTTTATGGGGTCATTATGTTGCTCAAATAAAAGACTTATGAAAGCACTTTGAAAAATACATTGTTGTATGTGTAAGGTATAATTACAGTTCTTGTCTTCAAAGACATTAAAACTCACAGTAGCTTGGAAGGTCATACCAAAGCCTCAAGACAAAACAAACTGCTTCCTGAAATTAATCTGAAATAAAATCCTAATATATAATTCATTCATGCACACATTCACTCATGACACAAGGATGAAATATGAACTGAATGAGGTTCGCAGCTTTCAGGACCCCATAGACTAGAGGAGGGGCAGATATGTGAACAGAATAACAGTGTAAGAGCAACAGCAGAGATTATTAACAAAGTCTCATGGAAGCACAGAGGAAGAAAGGGTTAACTCAACTTAGAGACATCAAAAAAGATTTTCATGGAAGATGACATATCAGTTGATAACATGACAGCCTGCCATGCACCACATTCTTCCTCATCCAGTTCAATAGTCTTTGCTAACCTACAATTTCAGTTTTCAACGATCATAATGCTAAAGTCTTTATTTACAATATACTAAGTGCTTTGTATAATGATATAATGAAGTAGGAATTTCGGTTTAGGAAACAGAACTTTTATATATATAAACTTTTTGATCTAGCCATTCTCAAAACAGAAAAAAGTCCAGAATTTGATAGTCTAATGACTCTCCATTAGTCATGCAATGAAAGAAATTAATGGCATCTCAATCTTTCCCCAACATCTAAGACAGACATGGACTGAACAATTCAGGAAATGTTTCTGAATGATTATTCATATTTCCTGAATAGTCTGAATAAATGAATTGCTTACTTTCTCTTTTTCCTATACACAACTGAATGATTTCACTATTGATGTTCTAAAATAAATGGCAAATTATTATTATTTCATCTTTATTCTCAAAAATTTATAATTTAGATTTCTGTGACTCAGACTTGGGCTTGTTCTTTTGAATTTACATTCCTCACAGATCTCTGTAAAACACAGTAACCCAGAGGACATGTGTTCAAGCTGTCCCAGGAACATCACACTAAAGGGACTCCAGTGTAAACCATGGTTAGAAAGGATGCCACAGTTAGGCAAACTTTTAATGTTTAACATGGTTCTCAGAAAAGTGCCACGGTGTTAATCATTAACAAGTGGAATTTATGAACAGTCAAAGAAACAACAAAAAAAGATCTATAAGCGTAAAGTCCTTGCGTTCCAACTTTGTGCAGGAGCCCCACGACCTTTCAGACAGAGGAGCTGCCACTCAGCCCCCCTCACTCAGACACACACTGGGTTAGTCACAGTGGTTTCTCTCTGGCTCAATGCACTGATTCTGTCAATACAAAGTCTTAGTTATAGCACCACTCACCTTTAAGTCTGGCATTCTTATCCACCCAATCGCCAATGATGGCTCCCAGGACCAGAACAGACCCTGCCACCACCAGCCCGTAGACTGCAGTCAAGAGGAGGCTGTTTCCGTAGAGTTCTACCAGAAACACAGACACTGCAAAGTGCCACATCCGATCTCCCTTGAATAAGAAAAGAAATGTTTGGATAAAACTTTAGTTTCTATTCAATTACACACAGGAAGTTGCTTTCATATCAAAAGGGCACTTTCCAGAAACATCAGGAGTTTTTCCAAAGTCAACATTCAGGTGTTAAAACTGTTCATCCTGGCACAATGGAAGATACTCTTGCCCATTTCCTAAGGAAACCTGAAAAGGCATGTATTAATGAAATACACACACTCCTAATCACTCTGAGGAAGGAAAAGAGCAGATTCCAGACCAAGAAGGTTTTTTGAGAGAAAAGCTATTCATGTTTTCAAGTGTTGTCAGGCACAGAATTTGTCTATTCCAATTCGAGAAGCATAAACTGGTTTGTTACTGAACCAGACTTAAGCTATGGTATAACTGACAAACATTAGTATGCCCTGAATGTCAAGAAATAGACAGTTTCCCAATTTATAAAATTGTAAGTCTGAACTTTATGATCTCAACTTTTACCTCTAACATTCCAAATCCTAGGTTCTATTTTACAAATAAGTTTCAAAGTCATAAAATAGCAGAACAATCAGAAAAATGAAATCAATACAGGCAAGTTCTGGTACTACATGAAAAAGATGTAAGAAATAAATGCAAAAGAAAGCAGTCTTTTTTTTAACATTTTAACACAGATGGGTTTTTCAAGAGGAGAAACCACTTGTTTCCTGAGCACACAGAGAATTCTGGAATTCATTGCTACAAAATGTGGAGTAACAGAAACTTTTAAATGAATTCGGTAAATGAATACGTAAGAAATCTATAATGGACCTTATTATGAGATTTTAACTACCCTTGACTTCTGACGTTAACATAAAATAGAACAACAGTGTTCTATAATTACCTATTCTTGGAAATCACTACAGGATACTAAATCCCAAGCTAGGTTCCTTATGATTTGACCCCACGGAAAGTACTTACACTCCTTAGTTCCTTCCAAATTTGTTTGCATCTTCCTGATAAATTTAATGTGCAGAAGCAAAGTATTATTCTGGTATGTGAAATGAATTTAAGTATTTAATAAAGGTAACATTCAAAACTTAAATTGATGCATATACACAGTAGCAGTCATTTGCAGTAAACTTCACATAAACCAGTATTTCTCAAGTGAGGGATGTTTTTATTCTCCAGAGATCAACTGGCAACATTTAGAGCTGTTTTGGGTTGTCACAACTAGTGTGTGTGGGGGGGAGGCAGTTCTACTGGCAACCACATAATCAATGCACAGGACAGTCCCACAACAAGGAATTGTCCAGCCCAAGACACCAGTAATGTCAAGGCAGATAAACTTTGGTGTAGAGAATTATGAACATAATTTAAAACTGCAATACAAAATTAACATAAGATGAAAGAGTTGGGGGTTAGCATGGTACGGTCAAGTAAACTTGCGAACAAACTTGAAGCTAGTGGAAGTACCATGTTTGAAAGATTGATTCTCACGTGATAGTCTGGAAAATAAGCTCTAAAACCTTCTGCACTCTTAGCCCTCAGCACAGTGCATCAGAGCAAATGCCTAACAAATACCCGTGGAAACAACAAAGAGTGGTGATGCAATCAATCCCAGTTGTCAATGAGAGAAATACAGAATAGTTAGACTGATTTAGTGACCATATTGTGCACTATATTTGTCCTATAAATGTTCAAGAAGTTAGAAAATTAATCAGTACCATGATTAATAATCTGAGATAACTTTTATTTAAATTTGCTTTGATAATGGGAAGTTTCAAATACCATTTTAGTAAGTGATTAAAAATGTATGATATATATTTGTTTAAAACCAATAAAAAGACAATTTTGTATATTAAGATGAAGATGTCAATGTGAATAGCAACTTATTTTCTCAAACTTTAACATGAGAAATAAGTTTAGATATGATTAGAATAAAATGGGATGGGGAGGGAGATATTTTATGCTAATATCCCCATTCCTCTGAATAGCTCCCAAGGAAAAGACAAAAGCACATGAATATCATAAATGATAGGGTGCCTCCAGGAGTAAATTTCTTTTTTAATATAAAAAAATATTATTCTATGATTACTGCTTCTGTTTGTTTGTTGTTGTTTTTTACTATTTTTCCCAAAAGAATTTATTTTTTAAAAAAAGATATATTTATTTATGCATAGAAAAACTGGGGTGTAGACCAGTAGTGTGGGGGGGTGAGGGGGCTGAGGAGTCATCAGAGACAGAGTATGGAGCAGAACAGGCAGATTTACTGAAATACACTGCTAAGGGGAGCCAATGGGTGAGACAAAAGTCTGCTGCACCGTATGTGGGTTAGCTCCCTAGTGGGGGAGATTTGGCAATAGGGGGGTTGGGAAGGATAGAACTCAGGCCAGGGAGGCCCCAAAAGAATTTGTTTTAGATTCCACTAGAGTAGACCTTAAAAGACAAGTACTATTAAACAAGAAAATTTTCTCTCTTACTTATTCCTGTATGGCAGGTAACCTCCCTGATGAAGAGGAACAAAACTTCTGAGGTTACCCCAATTTCCAAAAGTCTTGGGCTTAAAAAGCAAGCTTAAATGTTGACCTAGTGCCACCTCAAGTCCTCCTATTCCTTCTGCGTGACCATTTCCTGCCTTCCACATGCTCTCACCAGACTTTGTTGATTTGTTTACAAGTCCATCTATTACCAGTGGACTGAAAGCCAAAGGCAACTAAATATCTATGAATGAATGATCACAGTCATTAATCAATTTAATAGTTATTTAAGAGGCTGTTATGTATTCAACTCGATTGCATGCACCAGAAAATCAAGGTCCATTCTTTCACACAGCTTGCATTCCAGGGAACCAGAACAAATCTGGAATGGGTCATGTGGTACAAATGCCCTGAGGGAAAATAAAGGATGACAGAGCTGGAAGGTAGCATTTCACATGAAGTACTGACAGAGCCCTCTGCAAGCAGACACCTGAAGGAAATAAAGACTAAAGCTATTAGAGATATCTAGGATATAAATGGAAACTCCATAAGATAATGACATAAATATAAACAACTTTTCACTGTCTTAGTTGTTTTTTTGTGATATTTTTAAAAGTCCATAACTAAATTATATTACAAGCTCCTTGACAACAGTATCCAATTCTTATAGTACTTTATATTTGGATAATATAGAATAAAAATGCATTAACCCACTGCCAGATAGAAATGAGTCAAAAATAAAAAGTATTTCAGCCCACACAAATTTAACCTGATATAACCTCCTTCCATAACACCTATATGTTCATGTATAGGAAACCATAATTTCGCACAGTTGGCAGGAGAATGGACAGATATGTACACATGTGTGTATACATAAGCACACATCATTTGTTGTAATAAAATCAGACTGAATGTCAAAAGGAGACAAAACTCGAAGGGTAGAATTATCTAGAGCTAGAATATTCTCCTTCTATACTCCTTTGCAATGAGAAATAAGAATCTTCTTAGCCTTATATGGTTGAGGCTGTGTTGTTTTATTTTTTCATTTTTTTTAAAGATTTATTTATTTTTATACAAGAGCTGGGGTACAGGCTAGAGGCGCGGGAGGGTGAGAGGATTCACCAGAGACAGAGCGGGGAGCAGAACAGGCAGACGACCGAAAACACTACTGAAGGGAGCAGCGGGCGCGATAGGAGAGGTGTGCCACGCCATGCGGGTATCTCCCTGGCGAGCAGGGACTAGAACCCACACTGCAGAAGCTGCGGACAGCTTCACAGCATCGCGCTCAACCTGATGCACCACTAGGGAGGCCCTGTTTTATTTTTTTAATCCAACTTTCCCACAAGAACTCCCCCTGCTCAACTTACTATAAAATTAGGGCATCAGTTACTTTTCTTGCATTTTAATTAATATGACAAAAAAAAAAGTCCTCTTAGAACAGCTACAGTACCACTCTTGGAAAATCTGAACCTCCCAACCTATAATGAAAGGTCACATAAGCTTTAATCTTATTCAGTATCTGAAGTGAGGCATTTCTTCCCCTAGGAGATGGGTCCAGAACACAAGATGAAAATTGTAGATCTGATCTCCATCACTTGTTAGTGTTTGTTTTAATACTTCCTACTTACTGAATTAAATTGGAAGAACAAACTATTGGTTTAGATTAATTAAAGGACAATTTCACTTAGAATTATCAGCTTTTGGAAATAAAACAAACTCACACCAGTTCCATTTTATTTATAAGTTATTTGCAGAGTTATCCCTCCCTAAGCTCTGGAAGACAGAAGCTTGCCTCTCTAAAAAGCCATCTTTGAACTTTATTTCTTGAAGATCTAATAACCTAGCTTAATAATTTCCCAAAGGCATGGGGTACAGATTTCTTCATACAATAGTTACAATGATGTCTTTAGGATGATCCAACAGAAGTTCCAGTTAAAAAAAAAAATAATATTCACAAAATTTATTCACAAAATTCTTACTCTTTTCTTATGGTTCTTTTAATTAAATATCATATAGGAGGCATGAATAGCATGTATTCATATTTATTGCTTTTAAAAAATACAAACAATTGTTTCATTTTAAAGATTCTAATCATCATTTAGTATATATCCAGCAATCTCCCAGATTAGTATTTTGGGGTAGGAGGGGACTGAATAAAGAACCCAGACCCATGGAAATTGGGAAACTTCCAAGACCACACAGGAAGTTGGAGGGAGGATTATTAATTAGTTGCTAATTTTCATGGGATGATGGTTTTAGGAATACCCTGAGATGCTCCACACATATCTACTTACTGATAACATGTTTAAAGATGAGAATTTTCACACTCAGATATTTGTTCTTGGAGTCAATTATCTTTAAATTAATCTTAGAGTGTTATTATTTTTCTAAGTCAGTCCACTCCACTATTCTAGTGTATTTTTAAATGTAGTATGCTGGAGTTTAGAATCTTAAAAAAAGAAGGATACAGAAAAATATTTTAAATGTGAAAGAATAGAAAGTATATGAACATCAACCCATTCTTAGCAGCAGATACTACTGTTTACTAAGCCTAGTAATAAAACATACAATTTATAAATGATGTAAACATTCCTGTCCTTGTTATTCCATCTCTGGATAGTTGTCAATCTACATAAAGTATGATAACCCAATAATTAAATGGCATTTACTAACACCTGTGGGAAAATATCTGAGGGGAAAAATAACTTTTTCAGTAAGGTGCATGTATTTAGATGATTTGTTTCTTTAGTTGCATGACAAAACTGGAAGATGGCTTAATCCAGCTGGCCCAAATGGCAGGAAACAAGAAATTGTGCAAGTATGTTGTCAGAATTGCTGCAGATTCTTACTTACCCATGTAGATAGAGAATGACCAAGGTAGAGGAGGAATTTTGCAGAGGTCAGGTAGTTTGTGAAGGATCCTGCACAAACACACAGAAGGGGAAGAGGAAAAAGCAGAGTCACTTGAGTGAGCTAAGGTTGATATGCTTCTTACTGGCTTTTATTAAACACTACTTCGTGGAACAAGGCATGTACATTTTACCAGTTCCACTAGGAATCCATGTGTTGAGTTTACTTAATATCCCTCAAATTCACCATGACCTATTGGTCAATAACCGCACAGCTCCTCACAAACAGAGAGGAATGCTCTTGTTTCAACATTCTTCAACTTTTTTTTTTTTTTCCAAACAAGAGACTCCAAACTGCCTGGTGAACCCCATCCTTGCCTGCGTGCAAGCCTCTTACCCCACACCTTGAAATTCCTTTCTCACCTCGGCCCTGCAGAAGAGCTAGCAAGCACTCTGGCTAACAGCTGAGCCACATTCCTCCAAAACCTGCGTGGGGCTGCAGGTCTCCGGGGCCCAACCTGTGCTTCCCCCATATGCATTCGCTCAACTCACCGCAGCATCCTTCCCGGCGGGTTTGCTCGCTGGCCCTGGTCATGACACCAGGCGCCCCGATTTGCTCTTCTGCTGCTGCTGCTCTTCCTGAGGTCCTTGTTAACAGGAGTGTATGGGACTGAAGAGAGCACCACTAGGAACACAACAGCCTTGTGCAAAAAGACCCCAACGACTACTGCGGTAAACAACAAAAGAAAAGCGGCCCGTGCGTCTTCTTTTGGTCTTCTTTCCAAACTTAGCTAACACTGTAGCTGAAGTTGGAAAGGCAAAGCCTTATGGAGGCGGGTGGGAGGCTCAACAGGCCGCCGGAGCCGTGCGGGCGCCCCGGTGCCAGCTCGCGCCACAGCCGCCGCAGCCGCCCCGGGCCGGCCTAGCACTTATACGGGCCGGGGCGGAGCTCCCTGCCGACGCCGGCTCGGGGCCGCCCCCTCCCTCTTAGGGCCACCCCTGCGTCCCAGCCGCCCGAGGCCAGCCTCCCGCCAGCCCCGCGCTCCATGCCGCCCTCCATGCCCTTCCTAGGCCGGGTGGCTCGCCCGGGGCGCCCGCGTGCGGCGGCCACAAACAACCCGCGCGGCCCTTCGGGACCTGCGTCTCGGCCCGCTCCACTCCCCGGGCTTTGCTGCCCTCCAGGCAGCCCGAGAGGGGAACCGAGAGCCTAGGAGCGGGGTGTTTCTGGAGAGGGGGAAGGTGCGGGAGCTGCGGGGACAAGGGGTGCGCGAGGCGGGCCGGCAGGTGCTGCAGGGAGGCGCTGGACACAGGCGACCTGGCCCTCCCCGGGGAGGGCCGATGGGCACTCTGCAAAGCGGCAGCCAGGCTTGGGGGATCTCTGATTTTTTTAAACAAAAATGGCTTTTAATATGGGCCTGTAAATATATACAATTCGTGTTATCTAGGCCGCTTTCCTGGCCTTCCCATTCTGGCTCGCCGGGGGCAGAAAATATTTTTTCTTCGCAGGAGTGCAAAGCAGGGCTTCCCTCAAAGAATCAGAATCAAAGGGCAGGAAGGGGAGCAAAGATCAGAGCGGAGTTTTCAGAAAAGTAAACAGAGGCTTGGAGATGTTGGGTCCTGCAGCTAGTCAGGGACTCACCCCCAGCCCCCACCCCCGGCACTCAGGTGCTCACATCCTTCCTGAAGATGTAATAAGGAAGAAGCTGGCCAGGCATTCGCCCTCATCAGTCTGCCTTCTCCCCTAAAGCCTTAGGGCGCCTTCCCCCCACCCGGAGTCTCTTCCCCTCCTCTCTTCCAAAAGTCCTACTATCTGACAGGCAATTACCAGGAATACCGGTAGGCCCAGGTGTGTCCCTGGGTCCACCCCTGTCCAGATAAGGCCATTCGGTCATCTCCTGGAGACACAGCTGAATGACTCTCAAGAACACCAGAGTTAATCGTTCCTAGACTTTTCTGCTCTTCTCTTACTGCTGTTCAGAAATCCCTGGGGCATTCTGGTCCCTATTATATAGGAACCAGTTTCCTTACCATTCTCAATCTTGCCAAACCCCCAGGAGTGGATCCCACACATTGAAACTCCAACCAAACTGTACACCCTTGACACAGGCCCGACTGACACTCTGTAATGAAGGGAGACAGCATGAATATATGTCCTATCTGAATTCTCAATCAGGAGCCCCACAAGTCTAAGTGGGTGGGGTGCCCCTGGATTCAGTTGGGATGTGGTCTGGAGGGCAGAGATAGTGGATTTGCAGTTTAGTTACCACTGTTAACTGCACCCCCCCTTCCTTTTCACAATACATTCAAGTGTTCAAGTATTTTCTTTTCACTTCTAGAAAGATTGTGGTTTGTCTTTTGAACTGGAAAATAGATTCATGTATCCACACTGAGGGACCTATGGAAAATGAACTGGCAAATTAAATCCCTCTACATTGTAACATCTCTTGCTAGAAATGGATTTTCTTGATAGGTCCAAGAGCAAGGCACAAAACATAATGATACTTTGCACATTTGCCAACAGCCTGTCTCAGCAAGAAACTTTACATTAATTTTCACATGGCAAGTGTGCTGTCCCCAACTTTCAGGTGGCTAGAAGAAGGTTCAGTTGGTTAAAAAGAAAGGAAAAAGTTCACAGTTGATACTGTGAAATGTTTTTGGGAATAGTTAGCTGAATCATGTTTACTTCAACGTGAAACTGTTTTCCATTGTTATCAAGGAGTCCCCAGAAGCCCAAATTGAGAGAATGGTGAAAAAGGGAGATGTTATGATCACATAGGAAAAATGCATTGGAAAGAAAAAGCAAGATCCTTAACATCAAAACCAGTGATATGTTTGAGCTTTGGGAGGGGAAATCTAAGTATTTACAGGAACAATGAAGATACTAGTTGGGGATCATGAAACGGAAAGAAATTGCAAGTGAAAATGAAATAAAAGTCATCAAATTACAAGCAAAATGATAGTAATTGCCTCACCTTGACAGTGGAGATTACAATGCACCACTTAAATCACAAGATCCCAACTGGTTATTCCTCCTTCTAAGGAAGCATCTGACTGGCTGAAAATTAAGATTTCTTTCAGAAGTCATATATAGCTTTTCCAGAACTCAGAGCACACAATTTTCCTGTCAATGTAATCATACTAAGCCATAAGTTTTAAATGAAGTTTTCAAATATAGAGACCCTAAAGATCATTTTCAATTTTTTTTAAAAGTTTTTAAATTGTGAACAGGTTAACTTCTGAAAAATTTCAACCCGAATAAAATATCTTAATTTAAAATTAATAAGTATTTATGGTTGGGAAATAAAAGGGGTTTTACTATTTTAAAGTTGCTTTTTCACTTACCCGTCAGGCATCCTGTTTCCTCTGCTATATCTGATGTGCTTACCAGGACAAACACAGAATAAAGAATGGTCTCCACTAAGCTTCTCTAAAGAAAAGTATTAGGGTTATCATCAGCTAATACAGGAAGAGCTCAAATCCAGGACAAAACTTCTGTTGGGTGTGAAACTTTTTAATATAACTTAGCAGCTATAAAACCATTTTGCCATTCAAAAGCCTTTTTCAGTGTTACAGGTGTATTTCAAGAACTGTTTGACATTTCTATAACCTATAAGTGACTGGACACTTGATAAATTTAAGTTCAGACGTCTGATTTAAGATATATCTAATTAAAAAATAAGTATCCTCCTACATTTTACATTGTGTTGACAATTTAAATAGTTTAGGTCTTGCAAAGTTTCTCATGAATGCTAACACCACCTCTTACCCTCATATACACACACAGATACACTCAGTAGTCTACGGTTTCTTGTTGGAAAATTAAATGCAGAACTCAGAAGATTCCAAAAGAAATATATATTCTTAAGGTAAACCACAGAAACAGAAAACATATAGTGGTTTGGGGGGGGGGGGTGTGGAATGTGGGGCAGGAGAGAATAGGTGGTAACTGCTTAATGGGTATGGGGTTTCCTTTTAGGGTGGTGAAAATGTTCTGGAACTAGATAGCAGTGACAGTGGAACCACATTGTGAATTTACCAAAAGTCACTGATATGCATACTTTAAAATGGTAAATTTTATGTTAAGTTGATCTCAATTTTTAAAAAAGAAATATATTCCTATATGGAAAGTTTGTCATTTTCCAGTAATAGTATTCACTGGGAAAACTGGAGGCCAAGTGAGGTCTTAGGAAATCTTAGTCAAAAGAAAGAACCTAGAAAAGAGGAAAAGAGACATCTTGCCCATCACACTCACCAAAAACTAGCAAAACATAGAATTAAGTTAACTGTTTAGTTTTATCCCTGTACAGCTACAAAATGCATACATATTCTGTTTAATAAATGTTTTGGTCTCTCAACTTTTGCTGAAGTAGTTTCTTTTGCTATCTAACCAAACCCTCTCCTGTTGTAACATAAAGCCCATTCATACGTAGTCTGTCGTCAATGGTACAGAAGACACTTATTATCACCACAATATTCCCTTTGCATTCTCCAGACCTCTCTTGGCCTTACCTCGCTTTGCCTTCCTCAGGATCTATAAACAGGGATGAATTTCTCAGATGTTCCATCATTTTAATCAGTCTTCTTAGCACCCTTTTCAAATGCACCATTGCTTGCAAGTTCCCTCATAGAAGACAGCGCTGAGGGCCTCACTCATCTAAGCCGAGGCTCCTGTGTTGTCTGTTCTCATATCCTCCATATTCTGTCTCACACAATCCATACTGCATAATCCAGTCTCTAAGCAGCACCTTGAAACTGATTCCCACTAGCTGGTCGTCCGCTTATGCATGATGTTTGCATTCTGGAATTGAAGCAAACATTCCGGAGCTCCTTAGTGTTCCCTGTAGGACACAGTCCATGTGTTCAGTGCTAGAGACCCTCTTTTCCAACTCCCTTCTCACTCCAACTTCTAAGTGGTGTGATCATTATGCCTGCTACTCTTTTATTTTGCTTCCTTCTTTGTTTTAGTAAATAGTACCTTAGTAACTAGTACTATCGATTTACTCCTCAAATCTCATAAAATGCCAAGTTGTAACAACATATCAATTACGAATGGAGTATAGTAAAAGATAATGGTGTCTCACAGACATAAATCCCTATTAGACACTCCCTCATCTATGGTCTTGAATTTGTGATCTCAGATCAAAACTGTAATAAGGAAGACCCTACTATAAGAAATAAAGCCCTTATCACATGTCCTGAATACAGTCCTCCTCGCCAATGCAATTAAAATATTTACTGGAGTGATTGTTTCAATACTTAATAGTTAAAAATAAAATCAGAACATCTTTCCCAAGGATGTCTGCCAGAAAGGTTTTACTGCATTGTTATCTGCATTGAGCTACATATTTAACAAAAGGCACTATAAAAGTGGCAGATAAGAAATAAGGTACTTATCAGATACTATCTCATCTCTTATTTATAATACCTTGATGAAGTAATACTGTTATTATTCCCACTGTTCATAAAAAGAAGCAGAGTGGGAGGGGTTAAAAAATTCACCCCAGGTCACTTAAAGACAGAAGGGCAGAACTAGGATTTAAGCCTAGACTTGTCTGCAAAGTCCTTGCTCGTTCTGCTTTATTTTTCTTTTTTCGTACCACCTAGCAAGAGGGGACAATATTGGTGATGCCAATAGGCATAAAAAGGACTCTTCTTTCCTATTGGCTTCTTCAAAGACGACAGGACTCAGTACCAGTAGAATCTTAAGAACTAACTTAATATTGATGAAGGAGGTCATCGTATTGCCGGGGCGGGGGAGGAACTAATCATCCTTTGGGTGGGTTGGAAACCACTGCACACCGGAGCTGTTGTAGAACTTCCAAGTGATGGCTGCAACCCAAGTCCAGCTAATAGTCCATTCCCCTGTAAGGGCATCATATGGCTAGAAAATGGATTTAAAAAAAAATTAAATTAGTTGGTGAAAAGCTTAATTATATATTTTTTGATATGTAAAATTGAGACTAAGTCAAAATAACAGTTGTGCATGTTTTCTTTCTTTAACTGTTTACTGCTGAATTTTGTAATCAGTTTTAAAAGTTGGGGCTTTATAGAAAATGTCATCTCAAGAATTGTCGAAAGGAATTTCTTGGCACTTACAGAGGCAAAAAGGTTAATTTGAATTTTCTGAGCTTTTAATTTCCTCAACCACAAGAAGGTTTTCTTGAATCCACTTATGCCATCTAAGCCTTTGAACTTGGCTAACTTAAAACTCTCTTCAGGGATTCTCATCCATAAAACACTAATTAAATTAATTGAGCTTTTAAAAGTCTGGATTATATTGATAGTTTTGAAGGAAATCTCAACAAATCTTTCATAAATATATAATTTCATTGAGGAGAAAAATGGGTGATAGTTTTCTATTCTTGATTTGCATTTTAATTGATTCCATCATTATACCTCTGGGGAATTCTGAAGTATTCATTAAATTATCTGATTTAATGAATTCTTGTTTATTTTTAGACTACTTCATTTATTTATTAGATACAGATATTTATAACCTGGAAAATAATATCACCAAATAAAGGATCTTAGTTTGGTAAGGTCCATTTTGCTGCATCTATACTTAATTGCTTTTTGAATTGTCTACCCCGTGTGTTATCTAAAATATAGCAGTGAATATTTGAAAGTTTTGCTTCCTCAACATCACATTTGTGTGAAGATTGATTTTCAATATGTATCTATAGAGTTGCCAAAAATATATAAAATATACTGCTAGAACTAAGTGGCAGAAATACTTTCAAGGTCATCATCAACCTCAAAGAATGTAGGTTTCACTTGATGATGGCAGTACAGCTTAGGCAGGTTTCAGCTTCTTCAAGGACTATTTTCTCAGCTTCACCTGACCGTCCAACAACACTGTGAGTCTTCCCTTTTTCATCCCCACCCTTTCCTTCTCTAGACATTATTGCCTAATTAGTGTGCTATGTGGCAAGCTCAGCATCCATTTCTTGTGGTCACAAGGTATGTACTTTTTGTAAAATCTGCTTTGTGTTCTCCTCAGCGCTAAGATGGTTCCATCCTTTGAAAAAACAATAATTCATCATTAGGAAGTCACACTGGAAAACATTAATGTTTTGACTAATTTAAAACTGCAAATGAAAAACATCTAGACTACAATTATCAGTTTATGAGGATGTAGGGTATCATTAAACGAGTTTAGTTGTATCTTCATGATACCAATTACTTTAGACATGCCTAATTTGTTTTTCCTTTTTGTATGTGCAATCAAGCACATATAAAACCCTTTAAGGTAAATGTGGATGGATGTAGTTTGATGACTGATTGTGTGTCAGCTCTTCACAAGGTATACCAGCTAAGCTAAAGTTGAACACTAAGTATAGTCTCTTCTGTCTACTAAAAAGTCTCATTTTCTAAAGAGTTGATTAACTGAATCTGTAGTCACAGTAAATTAAGTGTATTCATCTACCAATTGTGAGCTTATATTGAGCTTGTAATTAGATACTTAGGAAATAATTTCTCACTAAAATCTCATGAATAACATTAAATTGCATTTATCTTTATGTGACTATGCTACCTGGCCCCAGGGAAAATCCAGTATATTTTCTCTTTCAAACTGTTGACATTTCTTAAAGTAAGAGTATATGACAACTCTTATGGTTTCTCCTGTTCACCTAATACAGAGACTGCTTGTCTCATCAATGCTATTTGTTCCAAACTGCTTGCAAACCATAACGGCATTATAAAGAAAAGTGGTACAAAGGGCAGAAGTGCCTTAAACTGCTTTTGAGCAAATTAATTAGCTATGGTCTTCATATAGAAAAGATCAAATTTTCTGTTGTTGTTTGGATATTTCCAGTTCAAAATACATTAAGTTCTCTGCCAAACATGTCACTAGAAAGACAATTCAGCTTACACAACTACCCTTAAGGTCCAGTCATTCATGTAAGTTGTTGCTTGATCAACAGATAACCATGTCTGGGATGTTTATTAGGATTATTAGCAAAATATTTCTCTGCTAAATAGATGTTTAAATTACTCCTATATGACTATCATCCCCTGAAAGGAAAGAAAACCTTTCTACTGAAATCTATTTGTTTTGAAATTAAAAGCCGGAAGAATTTCTCCTGATCTTCAGTCTAGTTTTTTTTTAACTAGTCTAGTTTTTTTATTTGTTGTTTCTGTTATTAATAAGTTAGACACTAATTTCAAACTATTTCCAAGAACAAGACTATAATAATACCAGGTGGAATTAACCTAACAATCCATGAATCTTCCCTCCTTGTCTTTAAGGAGGTGGTATATCATAGTAGAGGGACAAGCTGATCTACATTTAGACAAATCTGAGTTCATCAAGATTACTTCTTATATATAATGAGGTAATTACTATCTGAACTTCAACTTCTTTTTCAATAAAATGGAGATGGTAACATCTTTGCATAGTCAATGTAGGATTTAATGGGATATCAGAGATTTTCGTATTCCAAAAAATAGAAAAAAATTAAAATCTGGGTGATTTTGAAAGCTTGTTTCAAGAATATCTTGAAGTTTTTAGTTGTTCTACTAAGCAACATTCACAAGAACAAAGTGATGAATCAAAAAGTGAAAATTTCAAACGGCTTTCTATTATCACAGAAACCCTAGATACTATATATAGTATAGAGTATCATAAAACCCTCAAAATATTGAAGTACAAGCTTCTAAAATTCATTTATGAAAATATGAGCTTAGTCTAAAAATACTGTTTTCAGATTACATCAAGAAGTATAGGGTTTTAGGAAGTAGTAGTCCATGTGGCAGCTATGACTTAATGGTGTTTTATTGCTTTGTGAACTTCTCCAGATTTGTTATTATCAGTATAAATAATGTTGCATAGTTTTCAGATATACTGTTTTAGGTGATGGACATCAAACACCAAAAATATTAAAAATTACCATGTCACAGTTAGATGTCTCAGAGTAAGATGTCTCCTTCCCCCAGAACACTTGTTTCTAGTAATTTTTAATGACAATTAACAACTATAATTTGAACAAAAGAATAAAAACATATATTTTCTATTCCCCAGTATAACTGCATCTCAAAATGTGTATGTATTTACATTTTATTAAAGACAGATACATATATATATCAGTAAATAGAGTGATGAAACCAAAACACTCATCTCTACCTTTAAAAAAAAAAGCCAATACATTAAAATTAAAGATTACTTTCTTTTAAATGTTATATGCTATGAAAAGCAACCGCTAAAATTAAATTATTCATGGGCAGATTTTCCATATTTTTTTACAGTATGTGCCAGGCAAAAATGAATTGGTAGAGTAGTAAGTCACCATCAACCAATAACTTATTTTAGCACTCTAATAAATATTAAGCATTTATTCAGATATGAAAGTGAAGTTTACAGGATGTAAGATTTTCCTAGTAAGACTGGAACAATTCCACAGAATGCAGGATGGGTGGCACCCTTACAGTTTCCTAGTAAATAGGTTATATAAAATCTGAAGATTTTCAAATTTGAATTTTTGGTTTACTTTTTAAAAATCTATTCTCTCTCTTTTAAAACTTATTTTTCACAATATATATTTTTTGTTAGATTCTTGGAATCTATATAAAAGAAGCTTTCCTGAAGCTATGCTTAAAAAATTTACCTATGTCAATCATGTTGTCAAATGAGCACTAAAATCTCTGGCTAGCAGTAGTTTGTTTAGTTAGCCAGTGGGTTCATTTGTTTATTTTTGGTTGGTGATTGTTTTTCTTTATGCTTTTTTAAGTAAGACACAGACCAAAGAGACATGTCCCTTTTGCTCATGAGTCTTCGAAAATGGG